TATGCTATACTATGTTTTGTATTGTGTATATTGTGTTTATACAGTGTATATATATGTGTGTGTATATCTATATCTATCTATAGCCTATAGGCTATATATATCCATCCCACTCTGGGGTTGAGGTGAATAAAATAACTGTGTTATGACCTAAATAACATGCTGTTGCTATCTGCAGAAAGTATTAAAGCATGAAATCCTGCATTTTTAATGTACGAAAGCATCCTGTATCATAATTATATGTGTGCCGTTTGTAACAAACCAAACCGCGTGAAAATCAGTTGAAAATTCAGCGAGTTATTCTATTTTACTTGTGCATACAGCTCCTTCCTCAATAGAAGTGAATGCACTGTGGAGGCAAAGCGAGACCCATCCAAGATGGCGGCCGGCGAGGACGTCGGCTCTGATAGGCAGCGGCAGTCAATGCGGCGTCTATGTATATATGTCTATGCTGTATATCGTCACGGCTGTGATTCGGTCATGGGCACTGTGGCACGAGGCCACAGGCCGAGTGTCGAAGACAATTACAGCCGTGATGATATACAGTACAACGTCACGACCTTGAGTGTGATATTGCTTTTATACAACAGTTCAACAACAGCTTAAACAGCAATGCTGAGTAAGGAAATGTTAACAAAAGGTGATGTAATAAATTCTTTAAGTATGTTATGTACTGGTCTGTTGCCAGGCAACGCATTACGCACGCAGGGAATTCTCAAGCTACTGTGTATTTACATTGATCTGCAACTGTGTTACTTCGTCCAGTTCGGCTAATGAAACGTTGGCAAACCTGGATGTTGGCACGGCTGGATTCAAACACACCTGGAGGTCTGCACTGAAGAGTCCTGGCTTTCCTTTTCCTCGTCCTCTCCTGACGACCACTCATAATTTAATTCAAATGTAATTTTGGGGAAAATATCCATCTTCTTGGTGTATAGTGTCAGTTTGCGTCAATGTAGCGAGTGTGACAGCTGGTTAATTAATGGTTGTATTTATATTTATAACACCCGTGAGCGGAGTGATTTTACTGTTACATTTCCCAGTGATGATGTACTCTACATCAGCACTCACCCCAGATAGCACATCTGGCCGATGTCGGCCCGACTTATCAAGTTTAGATCGTTAAGACGTAGCAGGGAGAGCGTTTGCTCATTGCCAAGATGTCGCTGAGACGTCGGCCTTTAATGGAAAATGACCACCACGCGACGTTCAAACGATCAATAAATGAAGCTGTGCTCAGTGGGCGCTCCTTCATTAATATTCATATGCTTCGTTAACTACGACCTTTATTCATTTAGGTCGGACCTTTCAAACTACAAATATTTCACCATTCACTGTGAGAAATCAGTGCTAACATTCAAAAATAGCTGACTGTTACCCTATTTCGTGTGTAAGTGTGCACAATGAAGAGACAAAAGTCAATTTGACAAACTTTATTTTCAAATTTCCACAAACAATATCTGATGGCCAGTCCGCTTCTCCTGGCAGCCTGCAAGAGACAGAAAAGACGATGAGCACATAACTTCAACTTTTTGTTAGCATTTCAGCTGTATTTTAGCCAGATTGAAGGCTTTGGGTCCGTCACTCTGCTTAATTTAGTGTTGAAACGGTTAAATAACGGGATCCGTTGTTATGTCCCTACTGGTTTCCAATTTAACTGGTTTCCTTACCGAACAGCTGCAGATGTGCTGCGCCTCCGTCAGCAGATTCGTCACAAATTCACAAACATAGGCCTACACAACATATTACTGGCGATTTTAAAGTCACAGCCCACAGCTACCACAGCGAATATACTTCTGTAAGTGAGCACTACGTACCAGTGACATTAAAAAAAGAAAGTAAAGAAAATATGATATACACAAATTTGCGTCGAGCTGGACTCAATTTCACGTCAACCAAAAGACAATATAACACAAACCGCACATCTACCTGTGTGAGTCACTGGGACTCACAGAGAGCAAGGCTTTCCTCAGGTATTAGCTAAAATACCCAAACATATTTATCAGTGTTTCTTGTTCTTTTTCCACGAGTCTACAAACATATTCAGTGCCACATTACAGTCTGCACAACAGTGCACACTATGACAAAGTCTGTCATGTTTAAAAAGCGATCTAACTCGGAAAATGCTCTCAAAATACGCTAAATAGGCTAATATGTAAATAAAAACCAAGCACTTATAGCCACTGGATCATTACAGAGGTGAAAAGCAAGGACTTACATTTACTCACGTCACTGTAATTGAGTAGTTATTTGTGTACTTGCACTTTTTAAAAATCTAATTTGAGTATTACACCAGTATGTTTTAATTTAAGTATTATGCTTCACTGCATTTTAAATGACTTCCGTGACCGAGTAAAAAAAAAAGAAAAAAGGTCGGCCGAAATTTTAAAAAAGCAAACGGAATTGTTTTTGCGTTAACTACCATGACACAATAATAATAGTATTACACTCTAAATACACTCTGACAACCTGGCAGCTAACTCTGATGGAGACATATGAGCTCTAAGAACAAACTCACATTTATGGACGCACACTAAAAGAAATGTCGCCATGGTCCGAGAGAGGTGACGTCATGCTGTTATCTCTGTCTCTACAGGTACGCAGTGAGCGAGTTAGATCGTCACTTTTTAAACATGACAGGCTTTGTCATCTTTGTCATAGTATGCAGTGTTGTGCAAACTGTATGTGGCACTGAATATATTTGTAGACTCGTGGAAAAAGAACAAGAAACATTGATAAATATGTTTGGCTATTTTCAAGGCAAGCCGAGGGTAACCAGTTGTCTCAGGTCAGCCCAAATCTAAATGTTACCTTGATGCTGACTTAATTTACTAATACCTGAGGAAAGCCTTGCTCTCTGTTGTGTATGTTTGTGAATTTGTGACGAATCTGCTGACGGAGGCGCAGCATATCTGCAGCTGTTTGGTAAGGAAACCAGTTAAATTGGAAACCAGTAGGGACATAACACCAGCGTTAACTCCGTTAACTGTTAACAGCAGCTCAACAATCAGTCCTTCATCTCGGAAAAACAGTGGTTTCAAAACTGTGCTATTACCTATAGCCACCGGGTCCGTTTGCTTTGCAGAGGAGGAGACCTCGACTGATAAATTGCCCATAAAATCACATTAACAACATACCGAAGGCATCCTTAAATTTCACTATTTGATAAATTTCAATTATTTGACTGTGGTCCTCTCCGCTCCTCTCACCCACACATGGGCACCCGTTCTGGGATACACAGTGTCGGCCCGCCCAGCCTGACCTCCGCGCTCCTCTCTGCTGCTCTCACCCACACTTGGGCATCCGTCCAGGCCGCGGAGGTCAGGCCGGGGGGGCCGTGGAGGTCAGGCCCGGGCGGGACCATAGGTGTGTGGATCCCAAGTCTCGAGCCCTGCCCAGGACCATGGGTGGCAGCTCCTGGCACTTTCACTTTAACCCAAAACGAGTGTTCACGATAACCAGATAAGCAGATAACTTCAACTAGGGAAAATAAAATGAAAACACCACAGTTTTAGCCTGTTAGCTAACATGAGCTAAACTAGCTATCAGCTAACGAAAGATAACGTTAGCTGGTGGGGACCTGTGCTATATACACCCAGTCGTGCCTCACCAAGAACCTCTTTAAACGGTCACAGAATAAACAACAAAGCTATTTTCTGCCAGTTTATTCCAGTTAGCTTACCTGAAACCAACTGTGATGAGATGCTGTGTGCTGCGAGGTCAGTTCCAAAGGATGACTGCGGGGATTAAATTCCGCCTTCTGTGGCGACTTCCGTATGTGGGCGGGTATATTCTATGGCACTGTGCCGACCCAAAGCCGACGTAACAGAGACGTTTGATGAGCTGGGACCAAAGAGTATTAAATTTAAAGATATCTTATATATATGGCGCATGTGTGTAAATTAACAGTCCCTTTATTCCGAAAGTGGTAAAGAAAGCAAGGGAAAAACATTTAATTTACAGGGCTTTCCCTGGAGGGTGGGAGTGGATGAACCCGGTTAAAGAGTACCTGCCTGGATGGGATGCTCTAAAACTAAGGCGAGCGCGCCCACAAGGAGGCATGGATCATTTCATTGGTCAACAGTAAATTTGGCATTCTATTGGTTGGGGGATTTTTACAGGGTTGTAACACAAAAAAATCCACGCAAGGCAGAAATCTGAGAGCAGAAATTCCACAAGCGCACGAAAACAGTTTGAGCGCGAGGAAAAAAGCCGAAGCTCGAGCAGGAAATCTGTATCTGAGTGCAAGCACACAGTTTGAGCAGAAACAGAGTAGATCCAAGTGCAAGCAGAGGCTATTTGGGTGCGAGGGCAGGGTTTTTGATCGTGAAATCAATAAATAATGCTCTCAAACTGATAGACCACTCTCTTGAATAAAGATAGGGATAAAGCTCCATAACCTTCGGAGTCTGGGGATTGACTTAGGACATTCCTTGATAAAATGTGTCTTAACACTGATTTTTTTATTTTTCTCTTTCAGGATTTTGTTAATGCAGCAAGCAATATGTTGAACGCGAACTGGAGGAATATCAGTAAATCTACTGTTCAGCAAATGTCAGCAAATTACCTGCAGTCTGTGGAGGGTCTTGTGAAGAATATCAAGGTTAACAAAACGAATGAATTAAAAAGTGATAATTTAGATCTACAATTCTGCCCAGGTAATGACTGTAATGTGTCTGTGTTTGACGTCAACGTAAGTCTAAACAAGACCAACGGCATAATGAAAACTGTTGCTGTGAAAAATCTAATGGAGAAATTAAATAACAACTTTGCTAAAACAGAAGCTATCAGCCTCCTTCTATCAGCCACACTGGAAGACAACAATGATTCATCCTTAAGAATTGAACTAGAGTTCCCCAACCAGCACAATGACAGAAAACCTCGCTGTGTCTTCTGGAACAACACTGAGCACGAATGGTCAGTTGCCGGATGTTTTTTTACCAACGGAACTGATGTAAACCACACAGTCTGCGTGTGCAACCACCTGACTTCATTTTCTGTCCTCATGGCCAAGGGCGATGTATCTACAGATGTTCTGGATATCATTACCAATGTGGGCCTTGGTGTGTCCATCTGCTCCTTGTTGATCTTCCTCATCATTGAGTCTCTAGTGTGGTCAGCTGTGGTCAAGACCAACCTTTCACATTTCCGTCACACAGCCATAGTGAACATTTCCATATTTCGCTTGCTTGCTGACTGCAGTTTCCTGGCGTCCAGCAATCCTGAGAAGATCAGTGACACCTGGTGCCTAGTTCTTACAGTATGCAAACACCTGTTTTACTTGGCTATGTTCAGCTGGATGATGTGCCTGAGTGTCATGCTCGTCCACCAGCTCATCTTCGTCTTCAGCCCGCTGAGGAAAAGAGTCTTCATGTTCTTCTCCAGCATCGTAGGCTATGTTTGCCCAATCTTAATTGTGGGATCCAGCTATGTGTACTGCAAATACACCGACAAGCCCTACTATACAAAGGAGAAAGGCTGCTGGCTAGTTTATGAAAAACTCTTGGAGGGTTCCATACATGCTTTCCTCCTCCCTGTGGGAACTGTTATTTTGACAAATCTCTTTTCCATGGTGGTCGTCATTTTTACTTTAATGAAGTCCTCAGCCCCTGAGGGCAGCAAGACAGATGACAAGGAGACAGTCAAAAGCATTCTTAAAGTGGTGGTCTTTCTAACGCCTGTTTTTGGAGTAACATGGATCATTGGCTTTGCTCAGCTCCTACTGGATGACACCAATTCCATGTATGAAGTTGTTCTCTACAGTTTCACCATCCTCAATTCCTTCCAGGTAATTTGACATCAAACGATACACCAAACAGAATGTTGATATTAGTGATTCAGCAGTCTAACTTTTCCTCCGTCAATACCTCAGCTCAGGTTGGACAATGATTCCCAACCTGATCCCAGTGCTTTTTCCCCCCAAATTGACCTATTATTTAATTTGTTTACTTCACTTATTGAGATAATTTACATGTGAGGTAACCAGGGATTCCCATGGCACTAAGACTGAGTTGGTGCTTCAAGGAGAAATCCACCTACATATCAAGGGTCTTGTCGTGCACCAATGCATATGTGACAAAAGTTTTATAAAGCCTTTTTTGACTCCAGAGGGAGCTATGTGAAATCTGACAAATTGCCTCAAGTGATGTCACTTGATCAGAAATCTGTTGCCAGCTCATTATGTCTGCTTATGCTACTGGCTCAAGACTAAGGCCTTGTTTACACATATACAGATATTTCTGAAGACAAATATCTTTCCCATCTGTTTTAAAAAATAATTATTTCCACACGATCTTCGTTTTACAAAATATCTCCTTCCACCATTGATTTCTGTTTGATGTAAGGATGAAGGAGCTCACCCTAACATATGGGTGATGCTCTGGACATGCTAACGTTTTCCTTCCAATTCTCATTAGCCACTTTTCCACCAACATTTCCTGGAACTTTTATTACCAGGAATTTGTTTACCTAGGTAAAAGAATTCCTGGTAATCTGTGTGGTTTGCGTTTCCACCGCACCTCACAGTTCCTGAACATTTATTCAAATTAGCGCGGTGACGTAGATGATTCAGCATGTGCCCTGTATTTGGCTCCGCCACCTGGCTGGTTACATGCTGGTGTAGAGAGTTGGGGCTGTTTGTCTCAGCCAGCAGCTAAGTTTAAAAGCATTTTAAGATAAGTGTCAAACTAAGTTAGTCTACATACAGACAGCTGTCATTTGAGCTTATTAGTAACAATTCGCTATTAGCCGAACTAGCGTGCTGTCCTTGTGTAAGACATAACTTTAGTGATGGGATGAAAGACTGTGGACGGAGCATATTGAATATCACTGTCTACATGTTTACATGTTCAGGCTCCCTGAACACATGTATTGATAAAGTATTGGCTTTGTACTCGCTAAGGGTGAATGTCACTTACAGTTACGAGTGTAGCTGCTGTCAACGCTGTTACTGTGTCGTGACGGTGTATGTGTGGATGTGTGTGTATGTGGAGGAGATTAGCGCCGGCACAAAAGAACTGGAACTGTTAGCGCTGATCAATCCTACGGTCTTGAATAATTTAGCTCCAGGGCTAATTTAGTACTGGGTGTCGGCACCCATCCTTAATCAAAACACAAACAAAGTGAAGCTTGTAGAAATTAAATAAAGTTTTCAGTGACTGCCCATGCCAGGAAGTGCGGAACACTGCAAGTGTGAGTCCACCAATCAGCGTTCCTCGGCACACAGCCCCGCCCCTTCAAGAATTCCGGGTAATCTGAAAAGTCCTACCGCCCTACTAGGTACTTTTTCCAGGGTAAATTTGGGGTTGAGGTAAAGTTTTTTACTTGGGTAATTTTGGTGGAAATATGCGGAGGTTTTTCAAAATTCCGAGGAATTGATAAAAGTTCCTGCAGTGGAAAAGGGGCTATTGACAACAATCTCACTCTGGAAAGAGCCCAACCATCTTCTGACTCAACCAGAGTTTCTGTCCTGATCCAATACCATCGTTTCTGGCAGACTTTAAACCGCAGACACCACAGTGGAACAAAAACTTTTGATGTAGCAGATGGCTCCAATCATCCATGAAGTGGTGCATCAATACAAAGATTAAGTGTAAAGTAGTCATCAGAGCAAGCAGTGCTAACAAAATGTCAACAAACCGGTAATCCATTATTGTTGTTGTTGTTTCTAGTGTATACTCATTACACAAAGCAACAATGAGCATGCGTGAATTGAGGAGATTATTTCATAATTTTTCAAACACTCAGATTTACAGGTCCACACAGATAAGCAGTAACTGGAATTAAAAAAAAATTGCACCTTAAAACACATTTGAAAAAAATCTCTGTTTTAGTTACCTAAAATTCTGTGTGTGGACAAGAGGACAAAGGAATAAATTGTCTGTTAACAAAAATAAATGTATTCATATAGACAGGGCCACTGCATGCATAACACACTCAAAGTGTGTTACTTGTGTTTTGTTTTTGATTTTTTTTTTTCAACAAAAATATCTGCATAAATATGAAAACCTTTTGCACTTAATTTCTTCTCTTGCAGGGCCTTTTCATTTTGATAACAGGATGTTTTGCGGAGCAGAAGGTAGGTTTGCCAGTGGGAATTTTATCAGTGGGAAGCTAGCTATCATATCGATGCTCTATCAGTATCAGTGCATTCACTGATTTAGTGAAGATGTCCAGAGGTCATGAGAAGGGATATCTTAGCTCTGGCATGGGAGCATAGACTGTATTAAGGAAATGGATGAGGCCATTGTGATGTTGATGGAGCTGGGCAGGATGCCCATTGCTACGCCTCTATCCTGACTGACATGTTGCTGAGGTAGCGAATCAAAGATAGCCACGCCCTGAAGTATACCCTGCTTTATGGTCTGGACCATAATTTCTAGAATGAACATCATGCGGTATTGACAAAAACTTGAAACCAATGACTGAAACCATAAACTCTAAGTTCTATCCACCTTATTCCTCCCTCCCATGATACCTTGCGCAAATTATGCATGCAACTTCTGGCGCTGAACCGAAACCAGCGATTTCCAATGGTAACAGTTTGTTTATAGTACTCTATTCTTCTTTCCAGATTGGGAAATAAAATGTGGAACACACCACCTGTTATAGCTCAAACGAGATTATGTGATCATACATCTGCCATTTCTGACAGCCATCACAAAGCATTGTTTGTTTGTTTTTCCTTTTCAACCGAGCACGCTAGCAATTTACTTGCCTTGGTCCTTTAAAATATTATTAAGTTTAACATGGCCCGAGCTAGCTTAACGTTAAACATCTGCTCCTTCTGATTACTGATGGCTTATTAAGAGATACAAGCGATTTAACATAGGTAACAATAACATTAGTATTCTTGTTAACTAGCTTAACTTGATCTATTGACATCTATTAATTAGTCATCATTCAGCTAACATTATCTACATGCAACAGCATTACTCAAACTGTGCAAGGTTTTTGCTTCTTGTTGGCTGGTTTGCTGAACATACGTAGTTAACACACACAGCAGCACTGCCCAGCAGCACACGTCTCGTCTGTGCGATTGATTCAGATCACAACACCACAACATGTGTATGCGCCTGGCGCTGTCTACTGATGGTGCATTTAAAGACAGCTCGGAAAAACACGTTACTACATGTTAAAAACAAATTGAATGGTGGTAGGCTAGTAACAGCTGTAAAAAGTGCGGGGGACGGGGGGCACAGATACGGGAAGTGCAGGGGATATGTCCCATGTGTACCCGGCATCTGCTACGCCCATGGCGACATCCTCTTCTTTTATACAGTCTATGCATTGGAGGCATGGGTTTGATACCTAGGGCCCAAAATGTTGCCAATGATTATGTTGTTTATTTTTCACTCCTCCCAATTTATAAAGCTATTTGTGTTATTACCAACAGGTACGAGAGGAAGTGATAAAGCTCATAATGGTGAGTTTACCAGTGAGGCCTGTCTAGAATTACACCATAAGATGACGGAAACATGCATCATAACTCTGTTTCATTCCACCTTCAGGCAAAATCAATAGGAAAAAGTGAGAGCATGAAGAATTTGACTGCAACCACATACACGAAAGAAAAATGAAGACCCAGGTCAGTCATATGTTAAGTCATTAATAGTCTCTTTATTTGTGTCCATGCATTTGTTGCATCTTTGTTGACACAATTTTTCAGTAGGCATTGCATTCCAGGCCTGTAGATGTTGCTGGATTGCTGCACCAGCATCTTTACAAAGCAACATTAACTAGCTGTCTTAAAACCTGCTTAACCACATTAGCAGGGCAAAAACAGATGCAAACACCTGCTAACATCTGGCTTTTGTGTGTAACGACAGTGGTAACAGTTGGTATTCACACCTGGGCCAAATGACTCCGCAGGAGTCACAGTTATGAATCAGCTTCAGCTGCAATCAACAGTGATGGAAATACTACCCCTGGGTAGATGCGAGATGCAATGACGCGCCATCAAAAAAATACAGTCCTTCTCCACCTGAGCAGCGCTCAAACATTATTCAAAGAGAGATATAAAAAAAGAGGTAACCACCAAAACATTTTCACTGGCCTCCATGCTGCTTTCAACCATTTACTAACCTGTTTTCCGGCCTGTTCATGACGTCGACAGTCAAAACGTCGATGTCAGTAAAAAAAACATAAAGGTATTCTTGTTTTATGCAGAGCCATGTACTTGGCTCTAGTCTACTGTCAATGGGAAAGGCATCTATAGCCTGCATGAATGTCCTAATTTTGGCGGAGAAGGGGTATAACACACATTAAGTAAGTAGTACAAAAGTAGTTTCTTGTCCTTTCAGTGTACTGTTAGATTCACCAAACAAATAAAGTTTGCATTCTCAAGGTCTGAAGTCTCCAAACTGCGGAATGCCAACATAAGTATGGGGTTAAAGCAGTCTCAAAGTATTATTCACAAAAAAATGTAAAGTTGTGTAACTCGTAAAACACAATACTTAAATAAATACAGAATGACTTGTATCTGTAAATCTGTGACAGGTGTTATGTGTGGTTCACTGACAAAGTGGCGGTGTTTGATGACTTTGGAATAAAAACGGGCTTGTGGTCCATAGATAAGGACCCGCTCCCTACGTAGATATGAATGGCTTGTTCTGAGGCAACAAAAACATGTTTCTTATTTTTCACTAAAGATACTTATTATATGATATTCCATTTCTGCCAATATATCCCCCTTAATCCTACACACTTGACCTTTCACAACGCAGGCATGAAAGTGCCCTAGAATAGCAACAAATCAGTTTTGTGCCACATATAAGCATAAAATATATTTTGTAAGTTTGTGAGTCTAGTCTGCTGATGTTCTAAATGCTTGATCATCTCTACATTTCAGATTGGGGAGACGGAAACAGCAACTCAACAGCAACTTACATGTATGCAGCTCCACTTGTAGCCTACAACTGTTAGAGTCAACCTGATCTCACAGAAATACTTGAAATGACCACGACCTCTTAACACAGCATTCTGTGGTGGTGGCACATAATGGGTTAAAATTCTGTGCTGGTACCATGGAAACAATGCCAATGTAAAGTCAGTTAGGATCCTTTGACGTGGTGGACACACAAATTCCCTGGTTCAACAACCAACGTCACGTCAACGTCATTTTCCTCAATGATATCTTTAACATTCCTGTATACACACAAAAACACGAAATAAAATAAAATGAAATAAATGTATTTTGCCAGCTTTTGATAACATAGGGCTATAAGAGCATTGTGCTGTGGGCGGATGTGGCACATTCGACTACGTGGGCTTCATGCCATTTCAAATTGCGGCCGGTCTGCCGCAACCTGAATAAAGACAGGATGATCAAACTGGACTTTACATTTCACATCCCTCATTCAATCACTGCACTTGTCACTTTCATATTATTTCATCAAACTGGACTTAAGTTTGTGCATTGCATTCAGCTTCCACTGTTAAATAATTTAATTATTTATCAGCGGACATTGTTGCTCTTGTCACCATCATATATTTCATACACTTCATTTCCTTGTCCATAGCGCAGACCATATTTCCTTACAGTTTCATTTTATGTTTTATATACCATTTGTAGACTATTAGGCTATCATTCCACTCTGTTAATAGATTTTAAAATTTCAATATATTTTAATACTATTTTTGCTTATTTCATTATTGTTATTATTGATTTTACTTTTTAGTAGTATTGTATTGTCTGAGGATGACTCATTTTACTAACTATTTACAGTAAAAAAAAAGACAAAAAAAAAACAAATAAAAAATAATTTTATACACTGGATACACTTCTCTGAAACTAGACCTGGCATGGCTTGCATCCAAAAAATGAGAAAATCAAAACTTTGTCATAGAGAGAGTGACAGGGAGAGTAACATATGTCAGTATGAAGATTCTATATGGCTCCTGCTTTAATATACTGACCTTTGAACCTTGACCTCAGTGCATGTTTGAAGGCTTATAATTCAGCAACTAAAGGGGGTACAGACATGGGACCAACTGTTATAGAGAGCTCTTGACCTCAGCTATCATGTGAGTGGAGTCAACAACTGGGGGTGCTGTCAGATATGGATAAAATATGGATACAATTAATTTTCACCCATTTAGAAATTAGATATTTAAAATCTGATTTCACAAATGTGTTTACCATCCCCTTAAAGTCCACAGTGTACAGTGGTAGTTCTTCCGGTTGTAGAGTTGTCAAATAGGGTCGTAAAAAAGTAAATCTACTGAATATATCCAATATCTAGTAGTACAGTCAAACTGTCATATTATTATTATTATTATTATTGAGGGGAAATTATAACAGAGGAATATATTTGCAGTTTTAATATCAAGGACACTTTGGTGTTTTTGTGTGTATACAGAAATGTTAAAGATATCATTGAGGAAAACGACGTTGACGTGACGTTGTTGAATCAGGGAATTTGTGTGTCCACCATGACAAAGGACCCTAATTGATTTTACATTAGCATTGTTTCCATGGTACCGGCAGGTAATTTTAACCCATTACTTGCTGCCACCACGGAATGCGGCGTTAAGAGGTCGTGGTCATTTCACATATTTCTGTGAGATCAGGTTGGTTAGAGTCAACTTTGTGTTAGCTAGTTACTAAACAGTTACAAAGGGATAGATGAATGGCCACAAACTGGGCTGTCATCCAAGGCTCATTAGATAGAAAACTGATGTTTTGCTAATATTTATTCATTTGATAGAACTGGGAAAAAGCTAAACTACCAGATATCACCATGAAACTTTCCCAGTTGATTACATTAAGACAATTATTTTCAATATTACAAGTTTTCTGAAATTATATGTTTAAATACACAATAGCAATTTGTTGGGAATATATTAACTAATTAAATATGCATTGATTTCCAGACATTTCCATAACACAAAATCTGAACACTGGATAAAGCCAAGTTCAAAATTTTGAGGTTTTTACAGAGGGATGTTTGGACAGGTCTTTTTGATCACTCCATAAATCAGAAAACACTGTCACTACCTGTCATAGGAATAAAATGTTCTATAAATCAGGATATAAATTATATATGAACAAACCCCTCTGTAGAACCCTTCAGATTATAAATAGGAATAAAACTGAGAGGTTCGGTGTATTTAAGTGCTACTGTGAGATTTTTGGCTCAGAGTATGACCAAAAACTCATTTTGAAAAAATGACCTAAAAAGATATGTGTTGTAAAATTCCCAAAATAAGACACTGGGATAATGATTTTAACTTGTAGATATCATCATGAAATTTCCACAGTTTATTTCTTACATTGAGACAATTATTTTTTTAATTGCTTTCAAAAAAAAAAGTTTTCTGATTTTCTTTTGTTTGTTTGTTTGTTTGTTCAAATATGCAAATGTGGCATTGTCTAATTAAATATGTGCTTTGTGAATATATTTCCAGAAACAAAATACACATTTAGGTGACATAAATACCTAAATGAGTATTTTGGACTTTTAATTTCCACTAGTCTGAAAGAAGACATGTTATGAAGCAAATTCATCCAAATTCTCAAAATTTGACCAGTACATGAAAAAACGATGTTTTGACCTGGGTTGTCTCATCTTGGATCAAATCCTGCTCCAGGGAGTAATATGTAAATCTAGCTGACGTATACATTTGGATGCTTTTTTCCCTTAAAGGTAAAGCAGATAATTTCTTATTTGCATTGGAAGTGCAAAATAAGTAAAACACAATACTGAACTGTCACTGTATAGCTTCAAGGAGAGGCTTGAGGTCCAAACAGATTCAAACCACATAATTGGGTGTTGTGCATTCTGTATGTCCAGGTTAAGCTGACTGTTTATAGAACATACAATTTGGTTTAACAACTTTGGCTTAGTATGATAATTTTGTTTAAAAAAAGACTGTACATAAAGATGGATGACATGACAGCGCCTCAAAATTGAACCCAAAATATCTGGCCTCCACCTTGAGACACGTACAGCTGCAGAAACATTCTGTTGGTAGTGTACACAACTCGCCCCTACAAATCATGCCCACCACTTGTACAAGACAAACCCACCAATGAGACAGCTATCTAAACTCTACTAAAATGCTACAATGTAGAGAATTTCGACCAAATGTAGTACATGAAAACATAAATCTCTTTAAAATAAGGTTTGTGAATCGCTTACCTAGGATTAGCATAAGTACTAAGATGTAGCCTTCCAGCTAACCTTACCCTACCTATAAACACCTCTCTTTTAATTTAATACAGTTAACATATATATTAACAGCTAATATATTAGCTAATTTCTAACTTAGCATTAGCATAAGTAACAATATGTGGTCTTCTCAAGTAACCAGATGTAGCCCTCCCATTACATTATCCTTACCTTAACCACCTCTCTTTTAACAAAATACCCTACACCTAGTGATGGCCAAATGAAAGTGAGAGAAACTCTGGGTGTAAAGAGAGAGGCTCACTGAATAGTAATTCAGTGTGCTTCGAACATTTAAATGTTTCATGAGGCTTCATTTGGCAATCACTACTCATACCTAATATTAGTTAATTGCTAACTTAGCATTAGCATAAGTAACAATATATGGTCTTCTCATTACCCTTACCCTACCCTTAACCACCTCTATTTTAACATAATGCTTTATAGCAAATATTAGCTAATTGCTAAGTTAACATTTGCAAAAGTAACGAGATGTAGCCTCCTCATTACCCTTACCCAAACCTTAACCATCTCTTTTCTGATATATTTCATAGCTAACATTAGCTAATGGTTAACTTAGCATAGCATAAGTAAGGCGATGTAGCCTTCTCATTACCCTTACCCTAACCTCAACCACCTCTCTTTTAACCTAATACTTCATAGCTGGATAATTGCGAATTTAGAAATTTCATCGGGAACTATACTTTGGGGCCAAGAAGCAAAGTGGAGTGATCAAGGACTGACATGTAGCTAGACGGCTGGTCACATAGCTGCAGTTATAACTACTCGTCCACATTAGTGAATAAGACATGGGCCAAACTAAAAGCTCAAAGTACACATCTAAAAAAATTTTATTGAATTTTTATCATTTTGGGTAGTTCTTCTTATGCTGATGTGTTAAAATGTTTTTGTTTTGTTTTTTGTTTTGTTTTTCTTTATAAGTTTGGTTTGAATTAGTTATTGGATGCTATAACAACAACAACGATTTGACTACATGATTGACTACATGACTGACAGCTATGTGTGACAGTCGGTATGCTTGCATTCAGTGTCGCTGCTCACAATCGGTCTGACAGGTGATTGGGGGAGAACTTAATACCACGGAGATCGCTACTGCGCAGACTCTGGCTCCAAATGACGTCATCAGCACAAGATGGCAGCAGCCATATCCAGGATATGTTCACATCAAGTTTGTACAGTGGGAGGAATTGGAGATGTGTTGTCCATCTTTATATGCAGTCTGTGGTTTAAAAGGCAAGTTTGTAAACTTACACTTGTTGAGTTGAACTATAACTTGTATATTATGTGTGTCTAACCAATGTATGTATCTACAGTGAATTGAAAAGTGTATTGAAATAAAGACAAGCTATATAACATCTTTATTGTTCATTTTTCTATGCCAGATTCAAGTGTTTCAATCCAAATCAGACAATTAATTTAACAATGATTAAAACTAATCACGTGAATATTTTTATCATATAAATTAAAGTCAAAACACCCTGCAAAATGTTAGCTTGGGAGAACAAAAAAAAGGTGACAGTTAAAGTGATTTCAAGACTCAGTCTAGAGTTTTGTTTTTTGTTTTTTTAAAGAATGCATCAGATAAAAGCCAAAAATGAGCCTATAATCTGATACTAATACTTCTCTTCCCAGTATTGGCATCATTTCACTGTGATTTCACTGCTGAGTTAATGAGGACACATTATTCCTCTTAAATATGTTTCACTGAGCCCTCTTGATGACAGTGAAGATGGCCAGTGTCAGAACTACAGTTCCTGCTGCACCACCAATCAGAGCTCCCA